GTTGGGGTCGGATCCCACACATTTTCAGTAGGATCCACTTGGATCTGTCCACGTCATTATTACATAATAATCCTCTCGAAATTCAAGATATTTTATTATAAGTATTGAACTTGACCGGTCGGGAGTTCGATTCAGTCCACTAGGAGAGTTCGATTTTTGCCAGTATGGAGATCGCTCTTATTCGATATATAGTTCGCATAGAGAAAGGCCGAAGCAAGGAGAGTATTGTTCGAGGCTCGCAGTAGCGTCAAAACGCGGGAGTTCGAAGTCAGCAAGAAAGAGTTCGGAAAACCTATGTGAAGCCCAAGATAGTTCAAATTCAAGCCGTTTCGGTCAAATTGTAACTTACATGATTAATGCGGATCAATATGATTATGAGCAGTAAATGACAGCATTAATCATGTTTTTTCTATAAAAACAACCTCAAACGCATGTGTTTGAGGGACAGATTTTTACACACTACGATTAAGCAATACAACATACTTTCCCTCTTTACTATTTCGCAAGGCTTTACTCATTTCGTTCTTATCAAATTTCTTTACTTTTTCTTCTTGGTTAATTTCCTTTTCAAATTCCCATATTCATTTGTTGATTTTAAGAGTTTTTCTCCACTGAAATACTTAAAGATAATTGAGTGTGAATCCTACATCTACATTAATGGACGTCTCTAAAGGCGTTTTCACCTGCAAATTCACCCATTCACTACTCACAATAAATGCTTGTACACATCCACATTCTTAGTTACCCTCTATTTATATACAAGTTACCAACACATCTAAGCCAAACCAACTCTTTTAGTAAAACATCTATTTCACAATCAATTTCCCAAGTAGGGGTGAAATGAGACAGTATAGAGAATATCATGTCTTCATGAGGATCAATGGATATTGTTCAAAAAACAATTTGAAGAGGCTTTCGATGCAAACAATCCGAAAACACACTATTTGGAAGGTCTAGGCATGTTGGGAATAAGATATAGGCATGGCAAAGAAACATATTTTCAAAGTTATAAACAAAGTTGAAGAGGCAACATTCATCATGGCGATGTTGACTATCTGCGCCAGCGAAAAGGAGTTAGGAGAGTTCTTCATAGAACAACTGTTTGTACTACCATGGGGTGAGATTTTAGGTATGGGTGATTTTGTCTTTGCAGCACTTGAACGCATGGGGGGTAAGAAATAGCACACCCTACATCCAAACCTGGAATGGCGCTGTCCCAGAATGTTCAGAAATCCATAACATATACAACCGCTGTGAAGAATGCTACATATTTTGGTGCTCAAAAAAGTTTTGTCAGCGTTGTTAAGTAGTTCGATCTCAAATGAGTGTATTGCCCTCTACCTATTAAAGTTGATGTAATCTCCCCATGTATGTTAAATCCTGCCTATTCTATCTTTGTTAAGTCTTTGTATGCTCTTTCAATAATATAAGTAGTATTTATATAAGCAGCGAATACCTTAATTTATACTCCCTCTGTTCCTCTATTATTGACGTTTTAGATTTTACACTGTTATTAAGAAAAATCATTACTCCACAATAAACTGTCTTGATTATATTTCCATTTTCCAATAAATGTTTTATGACTTAGTGTTTATACATGCATGATAACGCATGATACTACGACGGCTATAATAATGTGAGAACTAAAATTTTGTGACGTAAAAACAATTGAAATTTTGATAAAAAAAAAAAAACAAATTTGGAGCCACAATTACATTACTCAAAACAAAATTTTAAGAATGGAGCCAAAACAAAATTTTTAAGAATGGGGCCAAACAAAAATAATTAGGTTTCATGAACCTTCTATATATTGTTACACTTACACCTTTACGTTAATTAAAATAAGCAATGGCTTTTACTTTTGATCTAAATTTACCATTTCAAAACAATGAAAGAGAATTTTTGTTTGATTTGAATAAAAGTCCAACAAGAGATTTCACTTCATCTGAGAATAGTTTAACCATATTTCATGAATAACCAGAAGATTATTCTTATTCTTCTATAAATTCAGGTATTTCTATCTTTTTTTTTTGTCAACCTTATTTATTTATACTTCTTGATTACTGCATTTTCTAATATTGATGTATGTAATATTTATTTATTACTTCTCATGATTTTGTACAGATTATCCATCTTCTAATACATGATTTATAGCTGTATATTGTTCTAGTATTTTCTTTGAATAAATGACATAAAATAGGAGTACTAATTTTGCTATAGATTGCATACGTATCATAGCTAGTGTATCATAATTTTGCTATAGATTGGAATATTTTACATGAATAAATTTAGAGCACGAGACATTTTACTTTACAAAAGCATGTTGTTCTAGTATTTTTGGATAAATGACATAAAATTTAGAGTAAATAATTTTGTTATAAGAGAAAAAAAAGAATCATGTTAGTAACTTTTTTTTAACGAGATATACCATGCTATTACTAACATATTTTCAAATTTTTTTTATAGGAGAAAATGGTGAGATATCACAAGATTCTCAAGAAGTCAATGCTCATAGAAAAAAATAACAAATGGAGAAAAATTGGAGATTTATCATGCTTTGCAAGGAAAAAGCGTCAATGGAAAATTGAAGAGATCTACTACAACAGAAGTCTCTAGTTTATTCTCTGTGCCAGTACGAACGGTGCAACGTATTTGGCAACGGGCCAAAAATACTCCCAATGGTGAAGTTGTTGATGTCTCGCCCAAGAAAAAGGGTAGTTCTGGTGTGAACAAAATTCAGGTTGACCTTGATCGAGTTGCTGATATTCCATTCCATCGTCGAAAAACTTTACGGTCATTGGCGGCTTCTTTGGATGTGAGTTGTACGTCATTGTTTCGATGTTTACAAAAAGGTCTCATCAAACGGCACACAAATGCTATCAAACTATTTCTGAAAGAAGGTAATATGAGAGCTCGACTTGAATTTTGTGTCTCTATGCTTGACAATAGTACTTTGCCCGATCATCCAAAGTTTGTCGATATGTACAATGTTGTGTATATCGATGAAAAATGGTTTTATATGACAAGAAAAGCAGAGACTTACTACATGCATCCTGTTGAGGAAGAACCGTATCGCACTTGCCAGAGTAAAAATTTTATTGGAAAGGTAATGTTTTTAGCTGTTATGGCTCGTCCAAGATTTGATGGAGAAGGAAATGAAATATTTTCTGGAAAAATAGGAGTGTTTCCATTTGTTACAAAGCAACCAGCTCAGAGAAGAAGTAGAAATCGAGAAGCGGGTACTATGGAGCTGAAGCCAGTGACCTCCATAAAGAGAGAAAATATAAAGAAGTTTCTAATAAAAAAAGTTATTCCGAAAATCCGTGAAAGATGGCCACAAGAGGATTTCGGAAAAACTATTTTTATTCCAAAAGATAATGCAAGTACACAAGTTGATCCAAGAGATGATGAATTCCGGGCAGCTGCTTCTCGTTATGGTTTTGATATTCGTTTAGTGTGTCAGCCAGCGAATTCTCACGACTTGAATATCTTAGATCTTGTATTTTTCAATGCGATACAAGCACTACAACACAAGGTGTGTCCGAAGACGATAGAAGAACTTGTTTATGCAGTGGAAAATGCGTTTGAAGAGTATCCATCAAAACAAGTCAACCGGATTTTTCTGACTTTGCAATCATGCATGCAAGAAATAATGAAAGTTCAAGGCTCAAATAGGTATAAAATCCTACATCTGAAGAAATCTATTTTGGAAAAAGAAGGTAATTTACCTTCACAAATGGATTGTGATCCAAATTTAGTAAGAGATGTAATGAAGTATTTAGCAACGTAAGGCTTTTTTTATTATTATGTTTAATTTTCATTTTATTTAGATAACTAAAGATGTTGTTTTGTCTGTTTTTCCATTTTGTGAGAATTTTTAGCATTTAAAGAATATTTTAAATTCATACTACAAATGACTTACATTTATGTACACAAAAGCGACAAATTAGGAAAAACAAAGAAATCTGAGAAATTTGTCATATATCCATCATTACTTTTACCATCGCTCATAACAAAGAATTCCAATAGTTATAAGCTATAACAGACCAAATCAAAACAAAACAAAGAAAATTAACTAGAAGAACAAAGAAAAAGATAGATTAAAAGAGACAAAACTAGTAAAACTTAGGAAAATAGATCTTCAACATCGCCGATACTGTTTCATCAATTTCCGTCTTGCGATGAAGCTTTCTTGCATCATCATGGATTGTGTTAGAGTCGATCTTGTGAACATCCTTCGTTTCGTCTTCTTCCTCCACATACAACTCGTTCAAATCAAGTTTATGGGTTGTGAAAGATTCGATTCTGTAAACATCTCTTTATTCTTCTTCTTGCAACATTTTTTTTTGTTTTCTTTTTGGTTCATTTTGCTGTTAGAGAAAAAAAAGAAGATGAATAACAAACAGAAAGAAATAATACAAATATACTCCAATTACCAACTAGGCAACTACCAAGAAAGTAAAGTCACTTTTCATCTCTTTGACTAAATACTCGACATTACTTATCTTGTAAAGTAAAGTGCAATAAATTTTTCTTTGACAAAAAACAGAAATGCATTCATTACAAGTTCAAACGTCATCTATTGTGGAACAAGAATAAAAGTTAAAACGTCAGAAATAGAGGAACAAAGGGAGTATATCATAGGTTGCAATATTTGAAAACAACATGGGTAGCAGATAAAACTCTCGGTATACAGATAAAAGACATAGAACTAATACAAAAGTGTGAGGTATAAAAAAAATTAATAGCAATAACCCCTTACTTCTACTACAGCATGGGTTGCAATACTTTAAAACAACATGGACTGCATATAGAATACTCGGTATATCGATACAAAATATAGAACTAACGCAAAAGTGTGAGATATAAAAAAGAAACACAACGAACAGTTAGCCATAACTCCCTACTTCTACTATTAAGCCTCGACACATCGACTAGTTAGCCATAACTCTTTACTTCTACTACATCATCCGTTGCAATATTTTAAAACAACATAGACTGCAGATAAAACTCTCGGTATACCTATACAAAACATAAAGGGCAAGAAGGTTAAAATATCACAAGAAAAATGTCTCAAAAGGTAGATTAGGGTGCAAGAAGACTCAAACTGGCCCATTTGCTAACTCGTATGCAGCAATCATGTACTTCTTTGCAATAGTGAACACATCAACAAGCTTCACAAGTTTGCAAGATGTAGTCTCGCCATTAGCATGAGCTTCAATTAAATGGGCAGCCATGACTCCTGACTGTCTAATAAAACATGCATACTGTATCTCTTTCTCCCTATGTATCCCAAACGGCTGCAAACTATTTTTATTTTTCCCGCCTTGGTTGGAAGCAATTCGAAACAGGTATAGTAACATATTTGCCAATGCATGAACAGCTGTCTTGAGCTTCGATTCCCGCCATAACCCACAATAACACTCAATGATACTAATATTGTAATCATTCATATGAACGGAGAGGTCAACCCAATGCTGCTTGTCATAAAGAAAAGTTATGTAAAGCCTTTCAAAACCAGTGGGGGTGCACTCTAGAACATCAGGATCAAATCCATACATCCCTTTATTTGTTGTCTTGCTGAACTTGAGGTAGTGCTTACTTTTTAATTCGTACACAAATGTGGCATCAAGGAATGCGACAGTATATTGTCGATCAAATGCATGTTTTGCTAGCCACGCAATCCTTATGCTGTTTATGAACATGTCCATAACCTGGATAACAGTAAATAAAAGTTTGAATACAAATAGTTAATTCAATATTGGGGTATACCATGAATAGAAAGAATTTGTGTTAGTAACAGTTTGGTGCATACCAGTGGAGATACAACAGACTTTAAATCCACTGTGTCTTTGACATTAGCGAAGGAGAGGGTGCAATCCGTACCAAAATTTATATCCCTTCAAATACATGGATTGTTTGTTACAAAGGATGAAATGTTCATATGACAGAAGTGGTAAGTATAACAAATGATATCAACTTTGCATTCCACAGACAACAAATCATACCATCTTGGACTTCTTTGTTTTAAAATCATGAAATCTATATAAAAAGCATGCAACAGATGGAAAACCAATGCAATTGCGCACAAAAGCTGTAAAAGCATATAACATGGAGATAAAACATGTCATATATATATATATATATATATAGATGGAAAACCAATGCAATTGCGCACAAAAGCTGTAAAAGCATATAACATGTTATATATATATATATATATATATATATATATATATATATATATATATATATGACATGTTTTATCTCCATGTTATATGCTTTTACAGCTTTTGTGCGCAATTGCATTGGTTTTCCATCTGTTGCATGCTTTTTATATAGATACCATGAAAATGGTATCCAAATAATTACTCATCCTTAGCTAAAACCCGGCTTATTTTATCCAGCTGCCCAACATCTTATCCAAATGTAACTATTTTACTTCTCTGCTTAGAACCAAGGAGTGGGCTTGTTCGAAACTATTAAAAGTGTGAAATATGAAGATGATTAGTAAGGTATATAAGACAATAAAGTTTACTATTAAGATTTCAAATCCTATGTAACTATTACCTGAAATGTCTATAATGGATACGGGGAATTGGCATGTGTAAGAACCTCCTAAACAGCATAAGGATACAAAACTTTGTAAATGGGAAATGGGGTTCACGTGAAAGTGCATTCTATTTATACATGTTGCATACTTTTTTCAAATGAAGCAAGGAATAATTTTCTATCTACCATAATTTGTTATAAAAAAATGTTAAAAATTAAAACGAAAGCATATCACATAATTAGTACTTCAGGTGGCTACACTACAATAAACAACTTCTCCTCTGTTGGTAACGCCTACAAAAAAACAACCAGAGTAAATGGGTAAATACAATCAATTTCAATACTAATTTATGCAAAAGTTTAGTAAATAAGCAAATACTTAGCCATTTTTTTCATACAAATTCCATGTGTTTTTCAAATGAATAAAGGAATTATTTTTCATATACCATGATTTGTTAATAATACATGCTGTAAATTAAAACTCAAATATATCATAATTAGTACCTCTGGTGGCTGCGCTGCATTAAGCAACTTCTCCTCTGTATGCAGCGCCTCGTTGAAGTCAAGTTTGGATTCTTCTACCAAGGACTTCTCCTTGGTGGCATTATCTCTAAGTAGAATGCTAACTTATGTCAAAGAATGTATAGATGAAATTTAACACATAGATGAACATCATAGAGAAATATTATACGAGTGAGTGAAAGAAATATAGAACCACATTGGTTATGTAAAATGTATATCTCACATGTGATGCGTCAGTGTTGCCAACTTCAAAGTTAGTTGCTTATTAAACAGCATCAATATCAGGGGGAGTAGATACCCAGACTCAATGTTCCCAATGTCAGGTACACTCTCACTTTTCTCATGTTCAGTAATAGTTTCCCGAGAAAGGTTTTCAGTTTGACGCAATGATGGAGCAATAGACGTGGTACAACTGTTTACTCTTCTCCTTTTTTGCACATGTAAAGAAAGTACAAAAGAGATTGGTGTTAAGGACATATTCGAGACATACAACAACCAAAAGTTTTCTTACCAAAACACTATGCCAAGTAGGCTTTGTAGAAGGAGACGGTAATTCCACATCGCCAACATTGATTTATGGCAACACTAACCCAAGAACATGCTCCAAAAACCTGCTACCGTATGCTTCGCCTGATTTACAACCAGATGCTTTTATATGATCAACAGTTGAGGGATGCTGCTTACCACTACCCTCCTCCTGATCACTAGCCTTCTCCTTTTCTGACCTCCCAGCACGTCCAAATACTTCAGTAGGCATATCGGTATTCTCCTTTTGAGGTGCATAAATAGCTTTCATTATCAACTTTGTCAAATGACCCTTAGACTCTGAAATTGCCTTCAGCATACGATTCTCTAATTGCTTGTCTTTCATATCAACATATTTTTTCATCGCCTAAGGAATTTGGACATTGGCTTTACCTCTCCTTTTTTTGGGTGCCATCCATGGTATTTGGAGGGTCAACATTTACCTCATCCAAGGAGTCATGAGTGCTAAGTCATTGTTATCATTTCTATCATCGGTAAGAAAGTCAGCCAACAAACCACCGCCAAACATGGAGGCAGTGAATTTGTGTTGCTCGCCTATAAGTTGGATCATTTGGTCAACACCAACATTATCTTTGTCTTCCACCCATGAGGCACTGCCCAGCAGGTCACCGTTACCTTCTCCACTGAGAATAGATACCTAATTGGTCAGCACAAACAACAAGTGAAACAGTAACGTTTAAAAATGATATTATGGAAAAAATCATGTCTTTCTAAGTTATATTAGCTTTGCACTCCATAGAAACAAGTAATATTATTTTAGAGTTCGTTGTTTTAAAACAATGCAATCTATATATCACGCAAGCAACAGATGATAAAACAATGCAATTTAAAAACACTTGAGTATATGCATATACAGAAAACAGTGTTTTTAATATAAAACACAAACTATTTGATAGCGAAGAACGGCAACAGACAAAACATGGCATCTTTATATAAAACATTCAACAGATCTAAAACACTGGAATTTAGAAGGAAAACATAGAAGTAAGAGAAAGCCGGATATGCATAAAGAGAGATGACAGAGTACTTAAATGACAGACCAATAAGTCAATATAACAAGCATAATTATATAAGAATACCGTACCGTCGATGTCTTATCGATTTTCCAAACAAGATCCAACTTCAAACTCCAAAGACGTTCAATTTTTGTGAAAATATCCTCCATTTCGGAATTACCATCTGCGTCTAGATCAGGGTCAGGGAATTGTAATTCTCTAATAACGGGGACAGAGTGCAACAATAGTAGTTGGAGAGCATACAAACTGTTAGCGATGTCGTCAGTGAAGGGTAGCTCGCTGTAAGATTGAACTCTCTCACCGTTGGGTTTGGCATCTTCTCTAAACAGACACATCGGTGAAACAGGATTGACCATCTAAACAAAACGAAAGTCAAAAAAGGGTTAGTAAATATGATAATTAAAAACCCAAGAAACGGATTTACACGCACAACTCAACAGACCTCTTGCTTTTTAACAAAAAATCCCCAAACAGACGAAAGAAGAATCCGGAGATTTTGAAGAAATTCCAGATCTCTCGTTTATAGACTTCATGTATGGGAAAATGACAAAATTGAGGGTTAGTAAAGAAAAGATTAAAAGAAGCCAACACTTAGATCAGGACGCAATCGTTAACAAACCTATGTATGGTACTTACACAAGTATACACGGGAAGAAGAAGAAGAAGACGAAGATAGAGAGAGATAAGCGGAAACCCAGGTCTCGACTTAGGAGATGAGTCGGCTACGACTTGATTGGAGATGACGAGAACCACGAGAAACTTCTTTCTCAAACGGCGCTAGGGTTTTCCAGAGTTTTAATGGGTTATACCAAAATATAGTTTTTATTTCCAATTATTAATGTTTGTGTGTGGGAGTGCCTATAATATTCCGAATTATGCAAAATTCAAAAACTGAAATCATTACGCTCCCAAATAGTAGTATGTCCCCTCTATGTCTAAGGATACAAATGTAATTATCATATGGTTTCCGACAAAGACTATTCATCCAAGGTTAGTTTCTTCATTCTTTTTGAATCTATGATTAGTTATTATAAATTCCCTAGATAATATGAGAGTCACATAGCACATCACATTCTTTGACTCAAACAGACATTTGACTAGGAATCTTTTAGTAAAACATTGATTCTCTGAATTAATTTGGTGTATAGCATATATGACACTATAACCCAAATCGAAACAAAAACATAAATCTAGAAACAAAAACATAAATCCAAAAACAAAACCTTGTTTCAAAACCCAAAAATCCAGAAACGATCGAATCTAACGGTGAAGAGGAAGAAGAAGAAGAGCACAAATTGTAAAAACAGGAAGAGAAGAGAGAAAGTGATAGAGAAGAATCAAATTTGGGAAAAAAATTGGACAGGGAAGAGCACAATCGGTTTAATAGAGAAATAGATAGAGAAAAATGAATTTGGAAATTTAGAGATTTTGTCACAGTGAACTAAAAACAAATTTGTGGATACCCATAACCCAATAAGATAAACTCGTATAAGATTCTCTCATTCGAGTATCCAGGCCGTTTTAAGCCCGCGTACCCAGTAGGTTTTAACCCATCTTTGACATCTCAATGAGAGTGGTTAGAGGGTATGAATGTATTTTCAACAAAATGAAAATGTCTCATGTCTTGAAAGTATGTCATAGTGCAAACACACTTTCAAAAGTGTGTCATACCTACATCATTAGCTGCAGTCACGGGGGCTTCAGAGCATTGGAATCATCTTGCGTCTATCGAAGAATAATTTTATCGTCAAAAATCCAGAATTTAGTGGATGCATCTTGGAGATCAGGATATAAGCTTCTTTGATAAGGTTGCAGAACAGAGGGCTGCTAGAAACTCCATTAAACAACTTCGTGCAAGCAATGATGATACTTTGACAGAGATGAGTGATATCAATGCCGAAGCTGCCAACTAATATAAAGCTTTTTTGAATGATCAGTCAAGAGAACTCGAGATACCATCAGTGAATGCAATCTCTGCTCTTGTCTCTTACCGTTGCTCAGCTAAGGATGCAGCTTTTCTAATCAAGCCTATACTAGTGGAAGAGATTCAGTCTTCTTTGTTCTCAATGCCGCTGAATAAAACCCCCGGTCCCGACGGATTTACGGCTGAATTCTTCAAAGCAGCTTGGTCTGTGGTAGGGAGGGACTTTGTCATAGCAGTTCAATCATTTTTTCTTTTTGTCTTCATGCCTAGAGGAAAAAATGGTACCGTTCTGTCTCTGGTTCCTAAGATTACTAATCCGGAGAGTATGAAGGACTTTCGACCGATTGCATGTTGTAATCTCATATACAAGGTAATTTCTAAGATTCTTGCACAAAAACTCAAACATAAGCTTCCTGAAGTTATTGATTTGAGCCAGAAAGCATTTGTCAAGGGTCAGCTTCTGTTGGAGAATGTACTCCTCGCCACGGAACTAGTAAAAGATTACCACAAACCGTCAGTCTACTCTCGCGCTGCTTTAAAACTGGACATCTCCAAAGCTTTTGATACGGTAAACTGGTCCTTCATTTTTTCAACACTTCGAGCTATGCATTACCCGGAGCAGTTCATATATTGGGTCTCTCAATGTGTCTCAACAGCGTCTTCTCTATTGGTGAAATTGAAGGTTTTTTCCAGAGTTCATGTGGGCTTACGCCAAGGTTGCTCGCTATCTCGCTATCTCTATGTTATTGTCAGTAATTTTCTCTCTGGATTATTGACTAAAGCAGTAGAAAACAAGCATATTGGTGCTCACCCGAAATGTAAAGAGCTCCATTTATCTCATTTGAGCTTCGCGGATGATATCATGATTTTTACGAATGGCTCCACCAATTCTCTCTGTGAGACATTATCAGTCTTCAAAGACTTCTCTAAAATGTCAGGGCTCAATATTAATGTTGCTAAGTCTTCTCTTTTTGCTGCGGGCAGGGATAAGCATCGACTAGAGCAGGAAGCAGTGAACGTAGGACTTGAGGTTTGTGAACTTCCCATTCGCTATCTTGGACTGCCATTCACGACTAAGTCTATGACAAGAGTCGATTACGAGCCACTAGTGGAGAAAATTTGGAATCGACTAGCGAGTTGGACAAACCGTCACTTATCATATGCGGGGAGGGTTAAACTTCTTAAATCAGTTATTGTCTGCACTACCAATTTTTGGTGTTCAGTGTTTGTCTTACCAAAGAAATGTTTAAAGGAGATTGAGAGTATTTGTTCAGCTTTCCTCTGGAGAAGTTCTCCGAATATTCACTCTAAGTCTAAGATAGCTTGGGAGGATGTTTGTGTCCCAAAAAAGGAAGGTGGATTGGGCATTCGTCGTCTTCATGAGGTCTCGACAGTCTTTGGGCTTTGTTTGCTTTGGAAAATCGTCACTTCTTCTGGATATTTGTGGGTATCTTGGGTAAAGCGTTTTCTTAATCGTCAAGGTAGTATATGGAATGTCAAGATCTCAACTATAGGATCTTGGCAATGGAGGAAGCTGCTAAAACTACGTTAGATAGCCGCTGGTTATTTCGGCATGAGATAGGGGATGGAAAAGACACATATTTGTGACTTGATCATTGGCTTCCTATGGGTCGACTGATAGACATAGTGGGAGACAATGGAATTCGTGGCTTGGGAGTGCAGAGATTCGCCAAAGTCTCTGATGGGGTATCCGGTTTTGAATGGGTTTTACGTTGCTGCTGGGATAAAACGTTGGAAGAAATAAAGAGTCAAATACGCAATATGGTAATCCCGACGAATGCCGCTGGGGAAGAAAATCACTTATGGCGTCATTTTATAAATGATTATAGATCCAACTTCTCAGCTGCAAGGACTTGGGATCAACTATGGTCTCGCAGCGAAGAAAAAGACTGGTCTAAGGTAATTTGGTTCCCTCAAGCAGTCCCTTGTTTTGCTTTCATCGCTTGGCTGGCCATCAATGATAGGTTATCAATGGGGGTTCGTATGAGGCAATGGGGTTGTGTCCAACCGTGTCTTTTTTGTGGTGAAATGGAGGAGACGCGTGACCACTTGTTCTTTGCGTGTCCCTTCTCTTACCTGGTCTAGATAGATGTCGCTGGAGGATTGATGCACATGGACCCGAACCCGGATTGGAACGAAACCCTTCTTGGTTTGTGTACGCCGCAACAAGACAGCCATCGTCACATACTTCTTCGTATAGCTTTAAAGCTTATGGCGTGAACGTAACGCGTGGAGGCACAACACGTGTTCGTGTTCGCACATCCAGGTTGCAAAAACCATTGAGAAATCAGTCTGTACTCGTATTACGTCGTTGTGATACTATGAATCAAGGAAACTAAGAGGATTGCTCCAAGAGTGGTTTCGGTCTAGAATTCGCTGATAGAATTTTTTTGTGTGCTTTTCTAATTTCCTCTTGTTCATAAAACAGTTTGTAAAGGTTTCTTATAAATAATCAATTTAACATTTCATAAAAAAAAAAAAGTGTTTCATACCGTAAATAACTCTTATTTAATTGTATGTAAACAATGTTTTATCGACTTAGTTCGGAAAATAAATAAAATTATTTTGGTGTCCCCCAAAATACACCAACTAATAAATATTTCTTATTTAATATTCAAATTTCGTGTTTCTTAATCCCATGATTTTACCAAAAAAATTTTAGAAAAATCCAATTGTACCCTCTCCTCTAATAATTATATTAATATATATGTATTTTAAATGAATAAATAGTTATTTAAAATAAAATAATTAAAGACATAAAAATCAGGAAATTTCACGAGATTATCATTCCGAAGACCTTTAAAGAGGAAAAATCAGATTTTATGTGGTTTGTTTCATCAGAAAAACAACCAGCGGATGCATGACGGTAGGGGAGATTCAAAAAAAAAATATTATGAATTAAAGATGTAAAAAAAAATTGAAACTTTGAATATTAAATATAAAATGTTAATTAATTAGAGAATTTTTTTAGAAACCTAAATAATCAGTATAATTTTTATTTATAGAAAATTTAGTTGTAATAATTTTCGAATTTTTTCTTTTTTAAAAAAAAACAAAAAAATGTTGTCAAATGAGATTCACAACTTATAAGGTAAAACCATAAAAGTAAATTGGTGTAATTGTTTATCTCACTGGTTCAATGTGTGAACCGGCTTTAAAAACATTGATTAAACTTGGCCAATATTTGTTTTTCACATACATATCTCTCGTTTCCACAAATCTCCTCCTCCTCCACGTCGTTTCCAAAATCCAAAACCAAATGTCGACGGTGAGAAAAATCACTCTAAAAAGCTCTGATGGCGAAAACTTCGAAATTGACGAAGCGGTGGCGCTAGAATCACAAACCATCAAGCATATGATTGAAGACGACTGTGCCGATAATGGTATCCCTCTCCCTAATGTCACAAGCAAGATCCTTTCGAAGGTGATTGAGTACTGTAAAAAACATGTCGAAGCTGCTGCGAAATCCGAAACCACCACCGATGCTGCTGCTACTACTACCACCGTCGCTTCCGGTTCTAGTGATGAAGATCTTAAGACTTGG